CCCCCCCCTACAGCCCCAGCCGCGGCGCGCCCCGCCCGCCAGCGCCCTCTCCCCGCAGGCACTGTGGAGCTGGTTCAGGCGCTGCCGCTGGCGCGCGTGCTGCACGAACTCGGGGCAGGGCGCAGCCGCGCAGGGGAGCCACTCCGGCCGGGGGTGGGCGCCGAGCTGCTGGTCAGCGTGGGCCAGAGACTGCGCCGCGGTGAGCGCCGATCCCGGCCCCTCCTCGCCCCCGCTGGTCGCCTCGCCCGCTGACCGCCCGTCCGGCCGCCCCGCTCGCTGGTCGCCTCGCCCGCTGGCCGCCCCACCCGCTGACCCCCTTGGGCTGCCCCGCAGGGACGCCGTGGCTACGCGTGCACCTGGACGCGCCCGCGCTCAGCGGCCCGCAGCGCCGCGCTCTGCAGGAGGCGCTGGGGCTCTCGGACCGCGCGCCCTTCGCGGCCTCCTCGCCCTTCGCCGACCTCGTCCTGCCGCCGCCCAGGCCCACGTCCACCCACACGCAGCAATGAAGCCGAGACGCCGAGTCCTCTCGCTGCCTGTGGGAAAATTAATAAAGGAAAGCCTCCTTTAAAATGGGGGCCGGAGGCCAGAACGGGGAGCCCCAGACAGCGCAGGAGGTCAGTTACTCCCGGAGGAGTCCGGGACAGACCCCGACAAAGAATCCTCAATATAGGAAGAAACGTGCATTGTGTTCACCACCCCAGCCCGAACTCTCTTTTCCTCCAAGGGACTTGCATTCCCAACGCTCCTAACTTCCTTTTTTCCTACAAAATAACATTCTTCTGTCTTGTTTACTGGACTTGCCTATGGTCCGCCATAGCATGCCCACCTGGAATTGCAATTCTTTGGCTATTTCCGAATAAACTCGTTTTGCTAGTAGAATAACTGGCGGTTTTGTTTTTAGGTGGACACCTGCGGGGTTCGGAAGGGAGGGCCAGCGTGGATGGCCCAGAGGGAGGTGTGGCCAGCCGGGGAGGGGCGAGGCCGAGGGAGGGAGCCCCGCCCCACCGACGCATGACCGCTGGCGGCTCCGCCCCATTTTGCGCACGCGCACAGTCGAGAGCCTGCCGGCTCCACGCGTGCGCGCTGGCGCCGAGCGTGCGGCGGAGCGGTCAAGCCCGGGCGGAGACTGCTGTGTCCTCTGACTGGAGGCACCGACGCCGGGCTGGGAGCCCGGTGAGACCCCCGGGGGCAAGGGACGGAGGGGGGCCTGGGCCGTGCTCGGCGCGTGCCCTGCGCCAGTGTTCAGCTTTCTGACTGTACCGCTAGGCAGACGGCGGCGTGTTCCGGCAGGGTGCTCTGGGGGGGTGCTCCCGGAGGAAGGGGTGCTCCCGGAGGAGTGGACCCAGGAAGCGTCCACAGGCTGCCTTCGCTTTCCGGGCACATCTAGTACACTGCTCGGAGCCCATTTCGTAAAGAAGAAGTTGGTACAGAGACTAAGGGCCGTGCGCACGGTCAGCCAGCCGAGAATCCAGGAACCGTGCGGACCGTGGGCGGACGCCAGACGTTTGGCCTCCTCGGGAGGGGCCTCTCAGCAGCAGCTGACCAGGTGAGGGGGTCCTAAGACCGCCGCCCAGCAAAGCTCCGGAGGCCCCGTGAGGAGGGCACGGAAGTCCCCGGAGCAGTGGCGGGGCGGGGGCAGAACCGTGGGCGGGCGGAGGGTGTGGTTTGCGGCGAGTGGATACCTTGCCTCCCCGCCGGGTGGGCGCCCCAGAAAGAAGGTTCGGTGCGGGATGGAGCGGCGTCGGCGGGTAATCGCGCTCGCTGCGGGCCGCGCGCGACGTGGGCGGCGCAGGGTCTTTGCTGGACGCGGAGGAGGGGGCCAGAGAACCACACGAGGCATCGCTGAGGGGCAAGGCTGGCAGGCTGCCAAAGGGCCGGGGTTTGTCTGGGGGGCTGAAGCGGGAGACTTACTTGCCTCCTTTCAAGAAATGCGGTTTATTGCAAACAGCCACAGGTGCTCACGTGTCCAGGCACGGCGTGCATTTAGAATGCTTTGGTCAGCGCAGACGCCGAGGTCCGGGCAAGTGCCCCGGCCAGGCTGGACAGAGGTGCAGGTGCAGGAAGAGCAGCAGCACGGAGCAGGGGCCAGCGTGGGGTAACTGAGGCTCTCCGGCTAAAGGACAGGAGGGACAGGCATAGGCGTTCGACGACGCCCACGCCGGAGTTTGAGGTGTCAGAGGTGGGGCAGTTACGGACAGCTGCGGGGTTGGTTCTTCTGACTGGCAGCAAGTCTCTCCAGAGGGAGGTGGACGACCCAGCAGGCTGAGGCACCTTTTGGCTCTGACACCTTTCCTCTTTTCCAGGAACATCAGGCCCATGCTGTTGCTGGCCCTGGCACCCAGGGCTTGGCTCAGGCTCCCTCAGCTCAAGCCCCTGGCCCTGCCTAGCACCCGGGGAGGTGAGTCCCTACACGTGACGTGCCGGTTCTTGTCAAGGCAGAGCCCTGCAGGGACAGGCAGGCAGGGCCAGCCCCAGGGCCCTGGGCTTCGAACTAGGCTGCTGGTCACGGCCTTGTTTGGTGCTGGGCTGGGTGGGGCCTGGCTGGCTGCAAGGGCTAAGAAGGAGCAGTGGCGCCAGCAGCAGCGGACAGAAGCCCTGCGCCAGGCAGCTGTGGGCCAGGGCGACTTCAGCCTGCTGGACCACCAGGGCCATGCTCGCTGCAAAGCCGACTTCCGGGGCCAGTGGGTACTGATGTACTTCGGCTTCACACACTGCCCCGACATCTGCCCAGACGAGCTGGAGAAGCTGGTGCAGGTGGTACGGCAGCTGGAGGCTGAGCCTGGCCTGCCCCCCGTGCAGCCCGTCTTCATTACCGTGGACCCTGAGCGGGACAATGTCGAGGCCATGGCCCGCTATGTGCAGGACTTCCACCCGAGGCTGCTGGGCCTGACCGGCTCTGCTGAGCAGGTCGCCCAGGTTAGCCGCAGCTACCGCGTATACTACAGCGCTGGCCCCAAGGACGAAGACCAGGATTACATCGTGGACCACTCCATCGCCATCTACCTGCTCAGCCCCGACGGTCTCTTCACAGACTACTACGGCCGGGCCAGGTCAGCTGAGCAGATTGCAGACAGCGTGCGGCGCCACATGGCCACCTTCCGCAGCGTCCTGCACTGACCCGCATTAAAGAGGGTGCTGTGGAGCTGTGTGTGTGTGATCTGTACCAGCAGCCCCAGAGGCAGGAGTGCAGGGGATGGGCAGCCCTTTTCTCTGCACAGAGCAGGAGATTTTTAAGGGGCAGGTGGGATGGTAACACTATTTTATTAAGCTGGGTCAGCCAGAAAGCAAAGGTGAGCAGATGCAGGCCCAGCACCCGGGGACAGGGCTGCAGGACCCACCCCCCAGTCTCAGTGCTCCCCACTCAGGGCTGGGCCATGGAGGGGGCAGCATAGGTCTGGAAGCGCTTGTGGGCCCGCTGGTGCGTGAGCAGTCTCAGGGACATGGTGTCCACAGCCTCCTCCAGCCCCGGCTGCTGGGTGATCTCCACCGTGTAGTCGTTTGCCTGTAGGAACAATGCATGAGCAGAGTCCAGGGACGGCCTCCCTCCCAGGCGCCCAGGGCCACTCACCAGTTGCAGGGAAGCCAGCATGGAGCGACACACCTCAAAGGCAGGCTGGCCAGCCACCAGCTCTGCAAAGGGACACCACTGGTTGAGCTGGCTGAACCTTGAGACCACCTGGTCCCCATAAGTGTGGATGTCAAAGGGCACGTGCTGCTCCTGCAAGGGGGAGGGCAAAGGTCCTAGGGCAGGCAGTGGGGAGGCTCCCGTTCTCAACCAGAAGCCCAGCCCACCCCACCTCACCTGCTCCTGGAGCAGGGGCTGGATGGTGTCCTCCCAGTCCCTGATGCGCTGGCTCAGCTCCGTCTCCTGGACGAACTTCTGAGAGGTGGTGATGAAGAGCTCCTAGGGGAGAACCAGAGGGCTGCCGCCTTCTGTGCAGGGGAACAGAAGGCCCCTTGCCCGGCACCCCGCCCGCTCTGACCTGAGCCTACCACGTTCCTTCGGACCAGCTCCTCATAGCTCAGGGTGGCCGGCATGGCCTCTGCTTCTGGAAAAGGGGCAGCTGTGAGCTGCTGTGGCTATTGACCAGACCCTCTCCTCCCTCCCCTGTCCTCAGGGGTCCCTTGTGGCCCCCTGGCCAGCAGCCCACTGCCAGACCTACCCAGGTCTGCAGCTTCCCCGGGCTCTGCCCCCTCAGGCTCTGCATACTCTTCTGGCTCTAGAAGCTCATCTGCTGAGAGATGGAGAGGCCCCAGCAGGAGGCAGGTCAGCTGGCAGCAAGTGCTGAGCCCCACCCCAGCCTGCCCCAGCAGGACCCACCTGCTGCCTCCAGGTCCTCCAGGGAATCCTCCAGACGGTCCTCCTCCTCAGGCCACAGCCCCTCCTCGGCCCTCGGCAGCCACCGCTCAGCCTTCTGTGCAGAAAGAGCATCTTTGAGGGGCACTGCTATCTCCCACCAGGGGCCACGTGGGGTCCAGACAGTGGCTGGTACTTACCTCCCTCTGCAGCTTCCGGAGGGTCTCCAGTTGCTCCCTCACGTGCTGCCAGTACAGGACCTCCATGTCTGCACACAAAGGCCTCATGAGAGGGGGCCCCATGTACTGCCCAAGCCCACCCCAATCCACACAGGGCCTTGCACGTCCCTGGGCTGAGGGGAGGCAGGCAGAGCCCATGCAGGGCCCTGGCCTCACCTGCAAAGGATGGGCCCTTTCGCCGGGGCCTCCTGCTGTCAGTGTGTTCGGCATCTGCAGGAGAACGTGGTCAGCAGGAGCAGAGCCAAGTCCCCATAGGCCACATCTGGACCCTCAGCCCTGGCCCAGCCCCAGCACACCCACTCACAGGTGGCCAGGTACCACTGGTGGAAGTCCTGCAGCTTGGCAGCACCCTTCCTCTTCCGCTTCTGTCCTGGAGACTCCTCTACGCAGGGGGGCACGGAGTAGGGCCTACCTGGGGGCAAACGGATGTGGACCCCAGTGCCCACATCCCCCAAGAGCACAGCCCCCACCCCACCCACCACTCGTGCCCGGGAACCCAGCCACAGACGCCCAGGGAGGTGTCCCTCCTCCAAGTTACCTTTCTTGAAGGGCTTAGCGTCCAGGGAGTCAAAGGGGTCCAGGCTCTGCCAAGGGTCTGGGGTCTCCTGAGCACAGAGCACAAGCAGACCCTGAGGGAGGGTGGGGGACATGCACCCTCCCCCCAAAGCCCAGACGCTGAGCACAGTGACAGCAGGGAGAGGCTGGCCACACTCCAGCCAGGGTCCAAGGGTGACACACGAGGTGGGGAGTACCCTAGAGCTGTGGAAGAGGGGATTCAATTTCTAGGGGAAGGAAGATTCCTCGAGAAAGAGCCAGCGAAGGGCATCGCGCTAGGACCTCTGGCGTCCAAGGCACTGAAAGCTGGCAGGAGTGAAGGGGGAGGGGGACCGCGAGCATGCCCTCCCTGCCAGGGGGACCCAGGCCCCACCACCCCTCACCTGCAGCCGGGATGCAGGCTCCAGGGCTTCCCGTCGCTCCCGCAGCACACACCTCCCGGGCTGTGCATCACTCTGCAAAGACACAGCCCCGGGATTCCTGTCTTCTCCTCCAGCCAGGACTCCGGGCACCCCGGCAGCTCTGCTCTGGGGTCAGATGTCAAGAACCGTGCAGGGACCATCTTTGGGGACAGGAAGTTCTAGTTCAAGAACTAAAAAGTAAAACAGGCGGGCCCAGTGGCACAAGCCATTAAGTGTGCGCACTCTGCTTCAGTGGCCCGGGGTTCGCGGGTTCGGATCCCGGGTGCACGCAGACGCACCGCGTGTCACGCCATGCTGTGGCAGCGTCCCATATAAAGTGGAGGAAAATGTGCACGGATATTAGCTCAGGGCCATCTTCCTCGGCAAAAAAGAGGAGGATCGGCATCGGATGTTAGCTCAGGGCTGATCTTCCTCACCAAAAAAAAAAGTAAAACAAAAATTCTAGGAAAAATTTTAGGAGAACGTGTAAACTAGTGGTCATGGGGTACTTTTTTTTGTTTAAAAAATACAAAAAAAACCAGAATAATATGATGAACATCCATGTATCTACCAACCAAAATTAACAAATGCTGATTTTTTTTCCGTAGGCATCAGATTCTTTAAACAGATAAAAAGATTTCTTAGCTGTAGGTTGGAGCACAGAGCCACCTCGTGTGGGTTGGGGGACGCAGCAAGGGGCTCCAGGCCTGTCCCCTCCTGCCAGCCTGACCTCAGAAGAGTCAGCTTTGGAGACCAGTTGCCATCCTGGGTAGCAGCCATGAGCACCACAGGCTCGGACCTTTGAACACCAGCCCACCCCTGAGGAGGCGCAGCTGCTCTGCTCAGAGAGGGAAGGGATGTGGAAGCTGCTGCCCAAAAGGGCTGGGTGCAGGGCCAGGTCTAGAGCCAGCTGGAGGACGCACCCACTGCCCTGGTGCGTAAGGACCAGAGCGGAGGGGCCGAGACCAGCGGGCCTGCCTTCCCTGTGTCAAGCGTGGCTGCCCTAGAGCCAGGGCTCCCCCAGCTGATGGCTCGAGCCTTTCAGGCCTCAGCGTGGGTCCCACCTGCTGCAGGGTCCTGGGCTCCTGGGGCTCCAGAGAGACTTCAGGGGCCATCACCTCAGGGAGATCTGCCGCCCCCTCTGCATCCTCATCCTCACCCCCACCTCCAACCATCGGGCCTCCTGGAGAGGTGCCTGGGCAGGGAAGAAGAGACCAGTCAGCCCCGAGGAGCCCAAAGACCAGACAGCAGATGAGGGGCCACCCCTCCGGGGCAGGGAGCCAGGCTGCCCTTGGCCAAGACCTGAGAGCCCGTTCCCTCTCCCAGGTTCATGCCTTAGACCCAGAAAATGTAGCAGGGCGTTTTACACTCTCCCCGTCATACTGCCCAGAGAAGACAGGGTAGGTCCAAACCTCAGAGGCCAGGGAATGGTCAGAGAGTGGTCACTGAATGGACAGCACATCAGGCCGAGAGTAGGGGGCAAGGCCTGGGCGCAGAGGAGCCAGCTCCAAGGCTTCACTGCTGCCCACGCCTCACCCCACCAAAGGCCGCAGAGGGGCGGGAAGGCTGGGGTAGCCAAGCTCAGCCCTGTGCAGAACTCCGTTCCCCGCTGCCGCCCCTGTCCCCCTCCCCCCACAGGCACCTGGCTCCTGGGAGATGCTGAGTGCAGGTACAAGACTGCTGCACCCAGGGACTTCCATTGGCTGCTCCTCAGCCCTCCTGGCCTCTGGGAAAGATGAAGAATTGTACAGGGTCAGCCCCGCCTCCCCAGAGGGCCCCTCCCAATGGTCCAGAAGAGCCAGGGCTGGGGAGGGAGAGCAGAGCCCTGGTGCACAACTTGGGCACCCTGGGACTGAGCCAGCTGCAGGCAGACGGGGCAAGGGGATGTGGGAGATCACAACTGGCCACCCTGAAATATATCTCTTTACCTTGATTATTTTCTCTGACAGACATTTGACCTCCCCCAAACTGCGTAAAGAACTTAACATAGAAGACCTGTTCCAGGAAGGAGTTACTATCATGTGATGGCTGTAATATAATGTAAAATAGATGTTACAATAGGAAAGGCACCAAGCCCCTCTTATCAAAAATTCTGTCTCTTCTGGGCCACATTCTCTAGGTGGCCCTGCAAGGAGCTGCCAGACAAACATTTACATTTATAAGGGAAATCTCCATCTGTAAAGGTATCTCCCTCTCTGTATTGGGAAGAGGGGGGGAGATGATCTTATCTGTGGAAACTTATCAGCACTGAGGGAGAGGACTTAAATCTGCATACCCTTGATTACTGTAATTTCTGTCTCCCTTCCCACCCCCAACATCCTCCTTTGTTTTTAGCTGAAGATGGTATTTAAGATGAGAATTGCCACTATTGTGTTGAGAAACTCAGTTTCCCTGGTTTCTCCCATGTATACATGTTATTAAATTTGGTATTATTTTCTCCTGCTAACCTGTCGTGTTAATTATTTGGCCAGCCATAAGAACCCTAAGGGAAAGGGCGGGGGGGGGGTCTCCCTGTTCCCTGTCAGGAACAGGCTCCAGCAGACCCATCCTCAGAGTGAGTGCCTGAGGTGGGAGGAGCTCCCGGGGCCAGAGCTGGTGAGCACAGGGGATCTGACGAGAAGCCCAGCCTGGAAGATCCTTCCTTTCCACCAAACCCCCACATCCAAACCCTCACCCTTCTGGTTCCTCGGCAGCAGTGTCTCCATGGGGGACACGCCTACAGGCTCCAACATGAAGGCTCCTCTGGGGTGAGGGGTGCATGTATTCATCCTGAAATCCTTCCGGCTGGCCAGGACCTCCCCCTGACAGCTGTGCTGGCAAAAACAGGCGCCGTAGAGACCTTTCCCAGGCAGGCCTCCCCACCTCCCACCACCCTCAGGCCCGTACCTGTACAGGGGGCTGTCATTCTTCTCCACCTCATCAGGGGCTACCAGGGCCATGGGCAGGAGGGGGACGATGAGGACCTCCTGCACAGAGGCCAAGAGGGGTGAGCTGTGGGTCCTGTGGGCTCCAGGTGGAGAACCCATATGAGATGACACCTTCCAACACCCCCATCAGCTAAATGCGGCCCCCACCACAGGGGGAGGGACACTCACACTGGGGGCCTGGTCATTCCTCAGATCCACGCTAGCGCGGGAGTCAGGGAGGTCGTCCAGTGACAGGAACTGTGGGGAGACAGTGAGAGCTCAGGAGCGACACTCAGCAAAGTGCACAGTGCACAGCGGCCATGCCCCCAGAAACCGCACCTCATCCTCCACCTCCTGGGTGGCCCTGGAGCTGGCGTCCCCACTGGCCCCGTCTTCCCGTGCTGAGGAGAGCTGCTTGGCCCGCCTGAGAGGGAATCAATGCATGGGTGTCCCAGGAGGCTGTAGGGGCCTCCCGAGCCGCCTGCAGGGCAGACACACAGGCCTCCACCTCCTGGCCTGTGCCTCCAGTACTCACTTCTTGCCAGAGATGAAATCAAGAGCCTGGTAGACCAGCGAGTAGAGGTATTCCACCTGGCGACCAGAAGCAGACGGTGAGGACACAGAAAGCGGGGGGGGGTGTCCACCCATGATGCTCCATGGCCCTCCTCAGAGCCTTCCAAACTAGGCATCCACAACCTCTAGCACAAGTCCTGCCAATATGGCTGCCAAAAATACTTCTCCAATCCAACTCATCAGTATGTCTCATCAGAATTACTCTGACAGCTGAGGTTCCCCACTTCTTCTCTGCCCCCACACTCCACACAGCAGCAGCAGTGGCCGTTTCACACTGTGGCCTCCCGCCGTGCACTCAGGCAGCCCTGCTCTGCCTTCTCTCCTCCCACACCAGCCTGCGTGCCTGTGTCCCTGCTACTCCCACCCAGAGCCCAGCGCTGGCTCCCCTCTCTCCTACAGGCTCAGCCCACAGTAGCCCCATCTCCGGGAGCCCCTGTGTCCCCACCACCCTGCCACAGCTCCAGCCACAAGCTTTGGGGCTCGGCCATCTCCTCCAGAGATCAGGGCCCATTGTGAGGGTGAGGGTCAGGATTTTCGAGATGCTGACCACACAGCACCCACCAGGGGGGTGCACACGTGCTCCTCTGGGCTATTCCCTCGGGGACGACAGCGCCCAAGAGCACAGGGAACCCTCGCTTTGGCCCTGCCTTTTTTTCACATAACAAATGTTGATTGTGCTTGTTTTCTGTACGGGGCTCTACAGTGGACACTGGACACAAGCAGCAATGTGGTGGCCTCTGGTCACACAGGTCCCATGTAGTAGTTATAATAAACGTTAACTTTTTTAATGTTGGCCATATACATAGGACTGTGCTTCATGTTTCATCTCATTAAATCCGTCTGAATTAGGAGCCATCTGCTGTTCTCATTTTCTATGAGAATAAACTGAGAGAAATAAAGTACCCTGGAGCAGGGGGTCAGGACTTGCACCCAGGGGTACAAGGACCTGGTGCTGCCCTATCGAATACAGCAACCCCAGCCACATGTGGCTGTATCAACTCAAGTTTAAATTAACTAAAAGCTAATATAACTCAAAATTCAAAATTCCTCAGTCACCCTAGCCACATTTCAAGGGCGCAGAAGCCACACGCAACCAGTAGTTACCATATGACAGCAGACCATAGAGCTTTTCCATCACCTCAGAAAGCCCCACTGGACAGTACTGATCTAGAGCCTGCACCCCCACACACCCTCCAGACTCTCCTGTTAGCACTTTGCTTTACTTCCTTCATCACATATCTATCCACCTATTTGTCTATTAGTTCACGTATGTTTTCTGCTTTCAAAGTTAGTTGCAGACATTCCTTCCTAGGACAAACACAGGACTTGGGAATCCAATTTAATGGAATTATCTAGGACAAACACCAATGAAATCTTAGACTGTCTTAATAACTTACGGTGCCCAGAGGTAAATCCCTGTGCCAGCTACTTTCCCTTCTCTCTGATTTGGACCCCATTATTGAGCTCAATACAGTTCTTCAAAACTCTCACGTCCTGTGCACCTTTTCTTTCTTTCCCACCCACTAAATGGCCAATCTGGGAGCAGCGCTGTGGCCCACTTTTCCTTGCTCCTCCACCAGAGGATGGCTCAGCACCACTGGAGGAAAGTCACATAAATGTACCCAGTGGTGCCCTTGCAAATAGTAAGGTACATTTAATCTTCATTGGACTATCAATGATTTCAATTAATCTTTTACATTCCCCTGAGCAATATTTTGAACTTTTGCCAAATTTCTCTCCAAATCTCCTATCCAGTAGCTGATTCTCAGTAGCCGACTTACATTCTCCATCATGAAAACTGGGGCCTGAGGCATGAGCTTCCTGAACCCCTGTGCCCACTTTACAACATCGATATTTATTTCTCCCTCATCTCCTGACACGTGGTGTCTTTTCTTTCTTTCAAGGCAAGCCCGCCAGCCCACGCTCCTGACCCGTCCCCACCTATTTCTTCTGGGATTTTGTTTCATCCATTTCCTCTCCCTGCCCCACCCCTTCACCTCCACGGTTTCCAATCCTGTCACTGAGGATATTTTAAGAAATCCTGATACCTGGCCCCCAGCCTGGGTTGAGACCACTCCTGTGGTGACGGGCTGACCTCTCCTGCCTTTCTCAGTAAAGTTCCTTAGGAGAAGCCCTCACTTCCTCTGTGCGCATTCCCACCTCCCGTCACCTCCTACCTACTGGAGTCTGGCCCTTCTGTCACTAGAATCCCTGGTGACCTTCAAATTGCAGACCCAGTGGAAACCTGAAAATCTTTATTGTATGGGTCTAATTCACTGAATTCAACATTTCTGTTCTTTCTTTTTCCCCCTGAAATACTCAACTGCTCTGACTTCCACGACAGGATGTTTTCTCCATTTACCTCCCTCTGACCTTTCCTTCTTGTAAGCAGTTCCTAAATACTGGTTTTCCCCAGGAGTTCCCTTCATTCTGCTTTTCGTCTTACTCTACAACAGGGTTTCCCAACTGTGGAACTACTGGCATTTTGGACTCGACAATTCTTTGTTGCATGAGGCTCTCCTGTACATTATCAGATGTCTGGCAGCAAATCCCGTAATTTTAAATCCAAGCTTGTTCTCCAGTGTTAAAAGGTGGTGAGGAATCGGCGGGGAGGAGATGGGAGGTGCTGGCAAGGCAGGTCAGAGGCAGGTGAGGCTGCCGCCTGCCCCAGCAGGACAGCGGACCTCAGTCCTACTCGACACTAAAATGACAAGACCAGCAGCCAGGCGGGACCCACCTTCTTACTGTAGACACAGGCAGAGCCCTGGATCAACAGCGCTGCCTCGATGAAGTTCATGGTGGTTTTGCCTTCGTCAAAAGAAATGCAGATCTGGTCCAGCTGCAAGACAACACCAGGGCAGTGGGAAGCCAAGTCTGCACACACTTCTCCAGGGCAGCCCACCCACCACCCCGCCTCCTCCCAGCGCCTCTGGCTCAGGGTGCCTGGTCACCACAAGCAGCCCCTCAGACTGACAGCTCTGGCTCTGCTTGGGGCTCACTGGCTGTCCATTTTTTTTTAGAGGGGAGAGACAGGTCTTTCTGACTTCCCCTGCTTCCTGTAACCTCTGAGACCCAGTGTTTTGGAAGAGGGAGTATATCATCCACAAACGGCCAGAGCTGCACACCAGCTCCTTTCTGGAGGCGCTGGAGGCACTCCACGCTGCACCCATCCAGGTCAGGGCCAACTGAGACTCCGGCAGAAAGATCCCTCACTGTGAAGAAGGAAAGGGGAACCTCAGAGGTGGGGAAGACAGAGACAAAATGCTGGGGTCTTGATCCTTTGAGCAGGAAACTCAGGAAACACTTCCAAATGAGTCCTCCTCATTCTTCTGCGACCCCCAGTGCCCCCAGCCTCAGCTCCTATCACCTTGTAAATGTCCATGTCCACTGACCACCTGCCAGCAATTCCCAAACCCACCTAAAGCAGCTCTCTCTCTCTCAAGCTGCAGGGCTGCATTAATAGCTGCTCACCAGGTCCCTCAACTTCTTATCTCCAGACTTAACTCAGGATCTTCCCTACGACTTGGCCTCTCCTGCGCTCGTCCCAGTGAAGAGCACTTTGAAGCCCCTACATGTCTTTTTCAAGCTCTTTGCCTTTGCTCTCCCTCTGCCTGGACACCCGCCCAGGCGTGCCCAGTGTGGACTCTCTGCAGTCTCCCTGGAACACGCCGCGGGGCTTCTCGACACCCTGTCAGGGTGGTCTCATCATACCGTGTGAATGTCTCCTCCCTCAGTCGACTGTGAGCGGCATCAGGGTAACTCCAGCCTGTAGCCCAGTGCCTGATGCTGGTGTACAATAAATGTCTGATGAACAAATGAACGAGTGATGCCAGAGCTAAGCCTGAGAGATGAACAGACGCTCCCCAGGCAGAGGAAGGAAACAGCATTTGAGGAAGAGCAACCCCCACACAAAGGCAGTTAGCAGACACAGGATTCGACTGTTTAGGAAAATGAGGATTATGCAAACATGTCCAAAGTGTAGGGTGTGCTGGGGAGCGAGATGAGATATTAGGCACTATGGTGGCATAAAGAAGGGGGAGAGTTTGGGAGGATGCCACCAAGGGGCCACTTCTACTAATGCCTGAAGGATAGAGGGAATTTGTCAGGCCACTGGGGGAGGGAAAGGAAACAGGAGCACGACAGCCTGAGATAGTGCAGAGCATTCTACACAGAGGCGAAGGGCTTTGCCTGAAAGGAGGAAACACGAAGGAGAGGGTGGCTGGGCCACCAGGCCCACAGCTGAACAGGTGGCCCCCCCTTCACTGACCCCCCAGCCTACGCTGGCTCACCCACTGCCAGGACTTTACACTCCATTCACCTTCTAACAACGCCCAAATGCATGCTCCAAGTGGGACCTCCCATCTAAGCCCAAACCCGTACGTCCAATTGCCTTCTTCAATACCATCTGGGTGTCTTAACTGAAATTCCTGTTGAACAGGTCCACCTGAACTCTAGAAATCCCCCCAGACCAGAAACCCAGGGGTCTTAGCAACTCCCCGCCTTCTTTCCCCTCCCCTGCTCTATCCACGCCCTGTTCCCTGCTGATTCCACACCCACCTCAACTTGACTGTCTGTTCTCCTCCGCACCCACAACTCCTGCTCAGCAGCCGCACCTCTTGCCTGGACCTCTGCTCTAACTGGGTTCTTCCCACCCTTCACTTCCTTCCAGTCTGCTCTTCACACATCAGCCAGTGCTTGTCTTAAGATGTAAGTTGGATTACATCACCCCACTCAGAGCCCTAATGGCTTTCCGTCCCTCTCAGGAAAAAAACAAAATCCTAAACAGAGCCTCCCATGCTGACCAGCTTTCCTTTCCACCCGCTCACTGCACAGCAGTCACACGGGCCTACTTCCAGGCCCTCCACGGAACCAAGCGCTTTCCCATCTCAGAACCTTGGAACACTGTGTTCTCTCTACCTGGAACGTTCTTCAGCTCACTATGACTAGGCACCTCCTTCCAACCCAAACAAATTAGGTCCCCCAGTCACACTCTTCATGGAGCCCTCATCTTCCGAACCTCTCATCAGTTTGTGATTACACAAAGGACACGCTGCGGTGAGGAGGGTGGGATCTGCTCTGCCACCTACTAGCTAGGACTTGGAGCATGTCACTTAACCTCTCTGTAGAACTAAAACCCGTACTAATAGGGCTTTTGTGAGGATTAAATGAGTTTATATGTCTAAAGCACATAAAACAGCACTTGGCATGACTAAGCACTAAAGGCGTGATATTATTACGACTCCGTGTGGTTACTGCCTTATCCATCGTCCCAAGAGTAAAGCGGTGACCACTATTTGCTTGCCACTATTTCCTCAGGTCTAACATGGTTCTTGACACACAAGACACATTCAACAACAATGAATAAATAAATGGATGAGAGGATAGCAACATGACAAGATGTGTTACAAAAAATAAAAGAACATTCTGGTAACTGTGTGGAAAATGAAAAGAAAAAGACAAAACTAGACACATGGAAATCAGGACGTCAGAGGGCAGAAAAGACATACAAAGCAGGAGGGGAGCTGACCAAGCTAGGAAGCAGACTAACCAGGCACGCCCAGGCACCCTGCTCGATGTGAAAACCTGAATCCATAGCAGTCCCACCCAGCACAGTACTCTGCATTTTCTCAGCAAACTATGGACCCAAGCAGGGAAGGTCGATAGTCAGATCAAGTGTTCAGTTAACATTTATTTGGCACCAACTATGTGCTGGGCATTCTATTAAGCAAAGAGAAGACAGCATAAATATGGTCCCCACCCTGGCAGAATTTACATTCTAGGGTGAAAGACCATGAACGAGTAAACGAGTTAAAGAATAGCAATGCAGGGCCGGCCCTGTGGCTTGGTGGTTAAGTGCGTGCGCTGCAATGCTGGCGGCCCGGGTTCGGATCCCGGGTGCGCATCGAGGCACCACTTCTC